CCAAATTCATCCATCATCTTGCTTAGAATCCTTATCAGTGTCTTGTTTGTGGCCTCCGCTTGCCCGTTCCCTTTTGGATAATATGGTGTGGATTTGTGATGCTTCACTTGGTAAGTCTCTAGGAGGCTCTTCACATATTTGTTTATGAAGGGAGTGCCGTTATCCGAGAGGATGGTGTTTGGTACTCCAAACCGGCAAATGATATTCTCGTTGATGAAGTTCGCGACTGCAGGCCCCGTAGCGTTCTTTAGAGGAATTGCTTCGACCCACTTTGTACTCAATTCTATGGCTGCGAGAATCCACTTGTACCCCTTAGTGGAGATGGGCCCTATCAGATCAAAAGCCCAGGTATGGAACGGCCATGGCGTTCGGATACTATGCAGGTCTACAGCTGGAGCATGGATCAAATTTTCGTGTTTCTGACAAGTCTGGCACCTCTTCACGTGATGGGATGCATCTGACTCCATGGTCGGCCAGTAATACCCAAGGTGTATAAGTCGAACAGTCGAGCCCCTCCTTGATGCTCAATTTCGTGGGCTCTTCCGAGGACTAGATCTGATTCTTCCTTGGAGAGACACCTCAGGGGAGTGCCCTCAATGCTTCTTCTGTAAAGCTTGTTCTGATCAAGAAAGTACCGCCTTACTCTTCTCTTGAGGTGCGCAATGTCCCTCGGGCTCTCAGGTAGTGTCCCCTCTTTGAGATTGTCAATGTAGACTTATCTCCAGTCAAGGGTATCAATTTCAAAGCAACTCTCATCCTCCCGGATGTATGACTGACACTTGGGGCATTCTTTCTGTAGTTGATTCGAGGCCTTCTCCATCTCGAGCCAATAATAGCCTTGTCTTTGGATCCTTCTGTACAGACTAATATCTCCATCCCCGCAGGATTTTTCATGAATTTGTTGTAGTCGGAAGCTTGCTTCTTGTTGGCCAACACACTGGGCTAGGAATCCAGTAACTCATCGGAAGTAAAGTTCACCTTGAATTATTATGAATTGGGCAAGCTTGGCCATAGTCAGTTTTCCAACTTTGCTTCTGAGTTGTTTGAGAACTTCTCATCTCCAATCCTCCGAAAGGTCTTTGTCTTCAAGTATTATTGAAGGTTCTGTTCTCTTCTTGATAACAATTGTCGCCTCCTCCTCTGGAATGTCAACTCTTGCTCCTAATGTTACGAGGGCATCTGAAAACTTGTTGTCGGAGCGAGGCACATGTTCTATTTCAACCTTTTGAAATTTGTCAAGAAGCCTTTGGACTGTTGTTCGATACGTGGCCAAGGAAGGCTCCTTCAAGACGAACTGTCCTGAAACTTGCTTCACTATCAGCTTTGAGTCCCCCCGAATTCGAATCTTCTTGATATTGTGCTTCTCAGCTGCTATCAAGCCCAAAATAAGAGTCTTATACTCGGCTTCATTATTCGAACAATGGAAATCCAGTTTATAAGACAAATATAACTTTTCCTCACTTTTGCTTGTAAGGACTATCCCGGTTCCTCCTTTCCCTCCGGCTGCTGCTCCGTCAAAGCTCAATGTCCAGAAGCTTTCCTTGGAAGCCATAGCTGCATGTACCTCTCCTCTTAATTCTTCATTCATTGGTTCATAGTCACCACTTGGAAATTGAGAAAGGAGATCAGCTAAGGCTTGGCTTTTGATTGCCTTGGGAGCTACACATGTGATCTCGAATTCACTCAGTGCTAACAACCATCTTGCCACCTTCCCAGTTAGAGCAGGCTTGCTGAGAAGGTATCAGATTGGATCATTTCTAGTAACAATCTGAATCTGATGTGCTAAGAAGTAATGTCTGAGTTTTTGGGCGGTGAATACCAAAGCTAAACAATGTCTCTCTACCGGAGTATATCGGACTTCTTCTCCTCGAATCTTTCGGCTGATGTAATACACCGGGCGTTTTGTTCCATCTACATCTTGGACCAATAATGCCCCTATGGACTTGGGGGTTGAAGTTAGGTACAACATTAGAGGCACCCTGGGCTGCGAGGCTATCATGGTCAGAGGGGAGGTCAAGGCCGCCTTGATTCTCTCGAAGGCCTTTTGGTGCTCTTGGTTCCACTCGAACTTGGCATCTCCTTTTAATAAAGAGCCGAAAGGTGCAGAGATCTTTGCCAGTGCTGGGACAAATCTCCGAATATAAGACACCTTCCCGAGGAACTTTTTTAACTCCTTCTGAGAATGTGGGGGAGGCATTGCTTTGATAGACTTGGCCTTGTCTTCATCTGCCTCGATACCATGCCTATGTACAAGAAACCCGAGGAACTTCTCGGCCGTCACCCCGAAAGCACATTTGAGAGGATTCATCCTCATTTTGAATTTCTGGCACCTCTTGAATACCTTCTCAAGGTCTCGGAGATGGTCTTCTTCTCTCTTGGATTTCACCACTAGATCATCAACATAATCTTCCACCTCATGATGGATCATGTCATGAAAGGTTACAGTCATAGCCCTTTGGTAAGTTGCACCGGCATTCTTGAGTCCAAAAGGCATGACTGTATAGAAGAAGTTTCCGAGAGGTGTTCTAAAAGCGGTCTTTTCTGCGTCCTCTTCAGCCATTTTAATCTGATTGTATCCACTGAATCCATCCATGAATGAGAACATCTGGTGACCCGAGGTAGTATCCACGAGGGTGTCGATGTGAGGAAGAGAGAATTCATCCTTCGGGCAAGATTTGTTCAAATCTTGAAAGTCTACACATACTCTGATTTGGCCATTCTTCTTCTTTACTGGCACGATGTTTGCTAACCACGTGGGGTACTGTATTGGCCGGATGAAACCAGCCTGTTGAAGTTTTTCAATCTCCTCCTTAATCTTCTCTTCGAGATCTGGATGATATTTTCGAGCAGCTTGCTTAATTGGCTTGGAGTTTGGGAACACATCAAGATAGTGGGAGACTAGGTCAGGATCTAGTCCGGGTATTTCCTTATATGACCAAGCAAACACATCTGAGTATCGGCTTATCAACTTTAACAATTGTTCCCGCTTCTCTGGGCTAAGGCTCAAACTTACGAATATCGGCCTCGGTGCATCTTGTCCATCACTTAGATCTATTTCAATAAGTTGTTCGGGCTGAGGCTTCGGTCCATCTTACATGCATTCTGGAGCTACTTCAGGCTTTATTACTATATCATTGTCAGGAGGCTCTTCTTTTGACTCGGAGTCGGTGACTCAAGAAACCGACTCCCCGCACCTTCATAAATAGTACACCATCTTGCCTCATTCTCGGACTTTCATCACCTTCCGAGGAATAGGCGAACTTTCTGGTCTAGACATCGCCCGCTTACTTGATTATGCCATCGGCTCCTTGTCATCTTTGATATCCTCCCAACGAGGAATTTTGACCCCCCGAGGCTTAAAGGTGGTGGGAACTTCTTCGACAGCCAGTTCGGTGAAGTAGATGGCATCAGAATAATGAGCTTCATGGATCTCGAAAGGCCTTTCTGTAGCCTGAATTGTCACCGTCGAGGAGTATCATTCGGCCAAATACGATGAATAATCTTTTTGTAAAGATATTTTAATATGAATTACTCTGAAATGGTTCGTTAATTTGTGAAACCTATGTTATGTTATGTCATGCTTGATACGATAAGTGTTTGATTAAGAATGTTAGAACCGGTAAGTTATGCTTTGAAACTTTGAATTGTGAACAATACGATATATGTTCCTAGAAATGAGATTTTAATAAGAATGAATGAGATTCCCTTTTTGATTATCGAATGTGATACCCATGAACACATGCTTGATTGTTCAGAAATCTCTGTTATGATTATGTCGATTGATTAAGGCCGAATTGTGCAACATTGAGGCCGTTAATTAGGATCTTTTAACTTTACTTGCTTGATAAACTATACATTTTATGCCAGTTTAATGTCAATGAGGTTTGTACATAGTAGGAGCATAAAATGAGCAGAAAATTCTTTCCTGCTCGTGCAGCCTTTACCTCGCAGCCAAACAGAGCCTTAGCTTCTCGTACGTGCGGATTATTTTTCCCGCATGTGCGACACCCCTTCCCGCACGTGCGGTGACCACTCCCACACTTGCAGCCGCACCTCGGGACACAAGCCTGCTATTTTGAATCTGTTGGAAGAGGCTAGAGGTATAAAAAGACAGAAAATAGGCTAGAATAGGGTTCTGAAATTTAGAAGGAGAAAAAGGAGGCTAAGGTTTGGAAAAAGGTAATTCTCAATCTTCAAAGCAAATACCCATGGAGAATTCCATCTCTTCCACCTCTTCCCACTCCTCCATGAGTGGCTAAGCTCTTCTTTTCTAGGGTTTTGATGAAACCCTAGCCATGTAAAAGGATTTTTCTTAAGCTTTGATTGTAAAACGGTTTAAATAAATGTATGGATGATTTAGAAGTTTATAATAATTGTTCTTTTCATCTCTTCAAGTATTTTACTCTCTGTGATTGTTTAATGCTTTTCATACATTAGTTTTCTTTGTGTTTGTGTTCAAAGTACGAGACAAGTCATGCTACGAGAGATGGGTTGTGATACTACCATAGTTTAGAGCAAACGACTCGTGCTACTTGGAATGATTTGTGCCTGTACGTTGAATGCAACAACCCTCTTGATCAATACTTGAAACTTGTAGTTGTGAAATATTGAATATTTCAAACCAGATTGCAATTAATGGCCGATGTTAAATCTCATTTATGTGGAAAGTATTACATGCCTCTATGAGTTTTAGTTCTTAAAGGGCCACAAACGTCTGAGAAAATTAAGTAATATAGATGATTGCAAATGTTTTGAAAATGGCTTACTAGTCATTTTTCAGGGTAAAAATTCCACTTTTATACAATCGAAAAATTTTATTTTTAGAGCAAACTTCACTTTACCTCCTGTGGTTTGGGCCGCTGGCGGTTTACCCGTTGAGGTTTGGAAATCACCACATAACCCTCGTGTAATTACTGGATAGAAGTGCACAGTTAACACTGTTAACGGCTGAAGTTAAAAAAAAAAAAAAAAAAGCTTTTTTTGTTTTTGGGAAATGGGAATTCAGTTTGGTCTAGTAATGCCTCGGCGATATCAAATGATGTTACTGCAATTCTGATGGATACTGGTAATCTTGTTCTGTCAAGCAGTGACAGTGTTGATGATCTAAACAAGGCCTTGTGGCAGAGCTTCAATGAGCCCACCGATACATTCCTACCGGGCATGACGGTCTACATGAATGTCAGGGCCGGAGAGACTCGTGTTTTCACTAGTTGGACAAGTGATAACGATCCTTCGCTTGGACGATACTCAATGGGCGTTGATCCTCGGGGATCACCACAGATAGTGATATGGGATGGGCTAAATCGACATTGGAGAAGTGGGCATTGGAATGGACTAATATTTACCGGTGTTCCAACCATGAGGGCTATCTATTTGTATGGTTTTAAGCTTTTCAATGAGGGAAATGGTAGCTTGTATTTTACATATACCTCTTCAAACAGTTCTGATCCGTTGAGGTTTCGGATTGGTTGGGATGGAAATGAAGCACAACTTTGGTGGGATGATGGTAAAAAAGAATGGAGGATTATGCAATTGCAACCTGCTAATGAATGTGAAGTGTATAACAAATGTGGCAATTTTGGGAAATGTAATGTGATGGACTCTACAATTTGTAGTTGTATGAAAGGGTTTGTACCCAAAAATGTGGATCAATGGGATAGTGGAAATTGGTCTGGTGGGTGTGTTAGAAAGACACAGTTACAGTGTGGGACAAATGGAGAAGAAGACGGGTTTGTGAAGATTGAGGGCGTGAAGTTACCGGACTATGCAGACTTGATGGTGGCACAGGACATTGGGGATTGTGGAGAGAAATGCTCGAAGAATTGTTCATGTCACGCCTACACATTTGCAATTGGAATCAGCTGTATGATATGGAGAGGGGATTTGGTAGATATTCAGCATTTTGAAGAAGGTGGGAGCGATCTGTACGTTCGCCTTGCTAGTTCTGATTTGAGTAAGTGAAAATTTTAATTTTTGATTGCTGTTAATGTCATTTCAATTGAATGCTACCATGTTTTGAATTTTTCTAACAATTGAAAATTACTCCAAACATAGTTAGCAAAAGAAAATTTTCCAAGCTTGTGAGAAATGGGCAAAATGGCCTACAGCCACAAAATGTAGCCCACGGCCACTGAGAGATGGTCTACGGGACCTCTCCCTCCCCTCAGGAAAAGAAACAAAGAAAATCGAGCCTGGTTCACAAACCGAGGCAAGGCACAGAAGAGGGTTCGGAAGTCCGGAGGCAGGGTTCACAGCTGAGACTCTGAGACTTCTGAACGAGCACATTATGCAACATCACCAAGCGCTCAACTGGTGACGTCTGAGTCTTAAGGTCGGTCAAAAATGGGGTGTCTACACTCATATGCGGAATAAATATGAGAAACAACATACTTTCATATATCAGAGTACACTGTTTAACAACCAATTAAATGCCATGTAGGCTTACATGTTTCCAAGTCATTGTTTGGTTACACAAATTAAGTCTCGCTCATTACATCTTAAGCCATTGGCTTTACAAATAACAAACATCACACATAAGGCATAATTAAGATGCTCTTGCTTCCCAAAACTCTATCCACGCTATTGCCTTGGAGGAAGCATCTCACATGTACTTGAAAATGGTATTCCCATATAGGGTGAGCCAACAGTCCAGTGGAAATAATCGAACACAATTTATGAGGTTTAGCAAAGGTATAAATTCCACGTACATAAACAATACCGATCCTGAAACATTCACAAGACCTGCATATCCATATGCCACTAAGACCAACCTTATTCCATTTTCCTTTAATTTCATTTCCAGTTCATATATGCTACTCAATTCATGAGTTAAATTAGTTATCTTTCAACAATCAAAATGAGACTACAACTCAATGATTTTCCAATTATGCAAAACTCACATAAACACTTCAAAC